AAAAATAAAAATAAAAAAAACAGAAAACGAAGCAGACTCCCGTAACTTAAACTTAACCACAGGGTATTACGCGGCCTCCAAACATTTCTTTGCGAGGGAAAATAACGACTGGTTCCATACGCTCGCAAAACTTGCCCGCCGTCTCCTGCGATGTTTTCGCAATATCGACCTGCGTGTCCGGTACCGCCGGCACAAGTATAACACCAAGTCCCGGTACTACAGACCGATGCACTGTGATGCACAGCCGGCAGAAGTTTTTTGGGAGATCGGCTGTCGCATTCAGGGAGCTATGGGGCAACCCGTTAGGAGACGACGACAGCTATTTTTTTAGTTTTTTTACTTTTAATTTTTGTTTTCTGTATATGAAACTCTCTGTTCTGCTTTATTCACTCAAAAAAAACCCCGGTTGAAATGTATGGAGTAGAAAGTCCGGGAAACCAAACTGGTAAGAACTCGTTGATATGGAGAGATGACGTATACCCAGACATTCAATACAAATTAATAAGGACAACCTGAACCTTCACCGATCGCTTTCTTATAATACCTCACCTCTGCACAATCTACTGTCTGCTTCACAAGAGCTTTTGTTGAAATAGATTAGAGTATACTCTCCACGATACTTGTCTTGGCCAAACAGACAGCGTTCCAAATTGAAGCACTACTACTGCAGTCCTTCATACGCTTCCTACGTGGACCCTTCTCGTAATACACTAAATTAACTGTGACGGTAATTAGCCACTTACGAATCACAGCTATCAATCAAACAGACTGTAAGCTGACGGACTTTAATTAGCTATTACTTGAGACCTTTGACCTGTATGTCCCCAATCTTCTGAACCTTGACGTTTTACGTAACTTCTTGGGTTGTACCTTCTTTCTATATTGGAGCCTTTTCTTATATTCAACCTTTTTATTCTCACTTCACTTTTATACTTTACAAACAGAAAAACCTGGTTGACATTAGTCAGACACTCAGTAATATACCAAAAAATATTGATTACAAGTAGAAACAACTCAAGATTAATGAACAGATTGGAAGTTGCCTACTGGGTAAGTGATAACAGAAAATACATTACATGCTGAGGTCCGCAACAAGTGAACAATCGCTTGATCAACATCGATCAGAAGAATGAGTCAAACAACTCCCAAACTACTTTGATGAACACTTAACACTGACTCATTTTTTGGTTACTGCGTCTTTTATACCTGGCTTCCGTCAGCTCAGGTGATCGGTCTGCAGCCCCTCCGGGAGCTTCCTTTCAGGGAGCTACAGTAATCTTGAATTGATTCTGCGGTGCTTCTTGCGAGTGGTCGTGACAATACTGTTGTCTTTTCGGACGCAGTCAAGGGAGAGAGTGGTTTGCTTCAAATTTTTTTTTTTTTTGCTCCCTTCATTGATTTTAGAACTACACTTTACGAGTCATATAGAGAGTGAATACTACTTCTACAAATAAATTTAATATGCACAAGTGTTAAACAGTTAAGCATCAGAAATTGTGATTTCGACGGCGGTTGCGAAACTTCATTATTTACGTGACAAATAATGAAAATGTCAGTGAGAAGAATGTAGTAAAGCGGGGAAGATCCAGTACTGTACCGATTGCTCTTTCTGATTGATTACATTCTCCAATTTACTTTTCATCGAACCTACCAACTGCCTACACTCGTCCTGTGACACCTCACTTCAACTGCCACAAAATACTGTTACAAGTTGTCCATTATTCTCCTGTTTTTTGTTTCCAATGTAAAGTCGCAGTTAGACTGTTGGCTTCTCAGAGCCAGTGGATACGCTGACCCATCCAAATAGCGATTTTCTCCTAACCTGTTCATAATACGTCTACTGGATTTATAAAGGAAAAGGACGTGTTAATTGTTCTTGTTTGTCTCTGTGCTTGACGTGGCCATGTCACCGGCTTCTGCCACGCGGATTTTTCCTAATAATAACAAGAAAGTTTATTCTGGTGCAATTCAGCCTTAAGAACACAACCTCAGACTTGGGTAATTAAACCCATGGAAAAGCATCAAACAATAACAACCAATATACAAACACGCGGCTTGACCAATATATATTCCAGTCAAAAGCTAATGACATAAAAAGGAAAGAGCCATCGTCAGTTGCAGGGTCATTCCGTCATTCTTCTCAATTTCTTACATTCACTCTTTTAGATAGCTTGGCCTACCGGCATGTCTTCCTTCTACTTATCTTCTTGTCCTCCGGTTCCGCAACCGTCTGGGCTTTGCGCTTCATGTTCTGTTTATCTTTCTGATAAAGCCTATCAGCTGCTCTCTAGGTATCCGAGGATATCTTTTTTCTTTTTGTTCGTCTCCTTCGCCTTTCAGCGACACTTCCCCGGGGTGGCTGTCCAGCTCGTTCCACAGGTCCTCAATATGCAGACCAAAGTAGTTGAGGAACACCAGGCAAACTCTGCATTCCTTTTCTTTCAGCCTCTGCCTGGTGTCCGATTTCGCCAAGGAGGTAATGCCCAACCCTTCTTTCTAAATGCTAGGCATCTGCTGAGACGCCTAAAGGAGGTTGGGCATCACCTCCGTCTGCGTTTGTCTAGCTTGATGAGAGGGGTATTCTCATCATTCGGGCTGGGCGTGCAAACGGAGATCTTGTCGTTTCTAAGTTTGAACCCCAAAATTGTTGCTGGAGCATCTATATCTGGTGTACATATTGAATGATTACCGATCTGAGCTGAACACATCAATGATACCTGTTGGGCGTAATAAAGAATACTTATTGTGGGATGTTTTTGGTCGCCCTGACATCCCTTGGTTTGATAAGACTGAGGAACAATATTTCCGCCGGTTACCCGTGGAGCTGGCTCAGTTCCTAACCGCCGTAACACAATACGCTCTTTAACAATAAGCTAGGAAGTATTCACGCAATATTCGCCTGATTAAACAAGTTCTACAACGTATCATATTGAGTACTCAATTGTTTAATCAAACGGCGACTACTTCAAAAATCAAACTAAATTTCATTAATAGGCGCTACCCGTTGCCAGTCAGCATCTGGCCATTGAACTTGGTCCTTGACAAATTGCAACAGAAGTTTTTTGTTCTTAGTTAAGGCAAGTGGTTTCTTCCTCACAGTTCCTCATCCAGACTACCTTTATGCATGAGTAGTCCTAAAATTGGTGCAGCTACCATCTTCATCTTTTACTGCATATTCGCAGCAGTCAGCAGGCCGTTGGCTTCTGACGGCTTGTAGATACGTCGATCCATTGTATAGTTGTTTTTCCCTTACCTCTTCATTTGCTTGTATTCCTTGAATTCAGCCCATCACTCGGATTGTAGGGGAGCAAAAGAATAGACTTAGACATCGAGATACTTCGCAGTAGCTGAGGAACTTAGATTTTACTTCGTAACCTATTAAATATTGGTTGCTTAGACTTACTCGTTTAATTCTTGACCTATACCTAACACGCAGTAGAAGAATACACGAAAAAGCAGCAGAAAAGTTTGGAAACGCAAAGGGAAAGGCAAAATTTGGATATCTTAGTGCTTCTAAAAAAACTAAACATAGTTAAATTTTTAAAGTGTCCAAGTACCAAAATTTCCCTACAATTGATCCTTTCCAGACTCATATTTCTTGTACTCTGAAAAAAAATACAACTTAAAGCTGTTAATTTTGTATGCCTGAGTTTTTTGAAACACCTTTAAACTCTAATTTTTGTGGCTATTACCTTGACTAAACAGTACCTAACTCAGCTGTCAAGCACACGTTTTCAGACAAATGTCTAATACGTAAATTTTTCCTCTATGAAGTGGCTGCTATGCATGAAATCACTACTCTTCTGCTATCAAACCACGTATTCCGTTTTCCATTTTACTACTGTTAGTAGTGAACATCTCACAGAGCAAGTGCTGCTCAACATCGTCACGTATTACAGGTAACAGTTTTCTAGATTTTTTCACTTTGCTTTATTTTATCCTGTCATTAACCACTACTCAAAAAAAAAAAGCTTTCAAATTTAAACTGGATTAGGATTTGATGCGTTTTTTTCTTTCTTATTTCTTCTTTTGAAAAACTTTTTGCCTGCGCTTCTATCAAAATACCTTTTTTAGGCTTTCATTTTTCTCTGTATTTCCTCTCTACTTTTCCGGAATGCATAGAGGGCATTGCAGTGAAAGAAAGCGCAGAAACTGCTGCGACGCATCTGACGGACAAAGAAATTAATTCTTCACGTAACACAAATAATCAGTCTCAGACCATTACACAAAAAAGTGGACAAAAAGAAGTACCTGAAATAATAATATAAAGTCATAATAAGAAAAAAACATGATTTGTATAATTCATTAGTACCCTACCTACTAGACAAAGCCTGAGTGTTACAGTGCTAAACCTGTTTATGATCCAGTAACAGGCCAAAAAGTTGCTCTAAAAACACGCAGTACGGCGACAGTAAAACTTACTCCAATTCTGTGTTTCCTTATACTAAGCTCAGATAGTTATACGTCTTACCGAAATACGTTACTTATTCCTCATTAGATCTTCCAGCAAAAGAAATTCGGGTGTTCATGAGGAATTTCTGACAACTGTACAGCTAAGCAGTATTGCTATGTTATGATTTACCTAAAACTGGCAAAATAAAATTTGCCATAAAATTTGCGGGTTATACCCAGGTAAAGATAACAACTCTGCTTGAAAGCCGTTTTAGTTCCACATATGGAGCTTTGTTTCAGGTAAGTCAGCGACACTAATTGAAAGATTATTGAAAACTGTCAGGAAAACTAGATGTGGAACACAATTTTGTTTTGCAAGGATTTTTTAGGCGAGAAATTTTCTTTTTTTGATTTTTTTGTAAACAAATATATCTGTAACTGTAGGAGCGGCCTCAAAGCAGTAAAAGTCCCACTTTTCTCAGGTTTTTAAGAACTGTAAAAATGATTACATAGATTCTGGTTTAAATATAGTAGTTTTGTTTTCTTAAATTTAATTGCTGTCTTGATTGTTGTATACTGTTAAACATCCGCCAGTCCTGAGTTTACTTAGGAGAGGATTACTTCGACAGTTGAGTATGGTATTAATATTCAGAAGAACTGCTGCTATATATTTTTTCTCACTGGGGTAGTTTTCCCGAAAAGTTTGAAAAAATTATTCTTATTGTTGAAATGTTCTTTGAAGTACTGAGTAAAAATATAAATCTTTACATATATGAACATTTAAACTTTAAGGAACTCAAAAGCATAAACCCCAAAAATAATTTGTTTGTGTTTTCTAGTTATTTGTATTTCCGCTCCACTTTTTATCAAGCAACTTAACTTGCAATATCTTCGGAAGATGATTCATAGAAGTATTCCTGAAGAAGTATTCTTTAAGTGTTAGATTAAAACCGGAAAAAGAGCGTAAATTTAAAGCATTTCAAAATAAAAAGCGAAAAAGCATAACAGCTTTAACGGTCTTATGCTTTTTGTTGACAGTCATTTGCGCTGGTTCGAGCTCATAAATCTGGTTTTTGTGTGATTTGTTGTGTGCGTGTTTTCACAAATTACGCTTTTTTAGATGAGTTAGTTCTTGTTGCTTTGCTTAATTTGGCGATGTACTTTTGCCTTCTTAAGATACGTCATAATCATTTCTATGCTAACCTCATGTGACATTTCTGTACTGAAGATAGAAGTATGGTCATACGACGGGCGACTGAAAATCGACTTGCGCTGGCTGCATAAGAGCAGTAATGGTCTGTCCTAAAAATAGATGTATTAAACAAGATGCAAAATCTATTAAGCAAATAAAATATAAACTTTGGTCTAGACATATACAACTCCCTTTTAAGCAACTCATATTTCACTACGCGGTTGCGGCTAACATCTTTTTTTTTTTTCTGCTACGTTTCCTCTGAGTGTTAAATTAAAAAACAGTTTTTTGAGAAAACGCTTACAACTACTTCAGTTGTCGAAGTTTTAACTTTTTTGTGGTACTCTATATATCTGTTTAATTGTCTTCTTCGTCCTCTATACTAGACGCAGCTACTAGTGTAACCAAAATTCACGTTAATTTTTCTTTGCAAGGTAAAATTTATGACACCAGTCGTATGCCGACAGTTTTTCTAATTCTTCAGACGTTTCCTAAAGTTTCAGCTAATAATGCATTTATGGCCTAACTTTTTAAGAGATTTTTAGAGCAGTTTTATTGAAAATAAAGACTCAGCTTTATTCAATAAAATTATTTTTGTGTGGTTAATTTTATATAATTAGTTATGAAGTTTCCCTACAATAATTTTTGAGATCTTTTTTTTCTATCTTGAGCAAACTGCTTTTGGTTTCTATTTATTTCTTTTAAAGTTTAAGATTTTAGATGTGCTAATGGTTTCAAGTTCCGCAATTGTTAAAAAAATACTCCTTGTTTATTAACCAAACACGACGACACTTTTTCAGCCACCAAACACTATAGTTTCTACTCAGTAAGCCTTCCAAGTTCTGTCTGAGATTATTATATAAAAAGCATAAATGATCTGCAATACAGAAAGTTAAGAATCGCTCGGAAAACTTTTATACATTTCTTCTACCACTGCTCTATCATAGCGTAGCTCTTGAAAATAAACAGGATAATGCAATTGTCAAAAACAGCACTCTGTAACTTACTATACGAACATCTTAGAAACCATATTATTGCCTTCTACAGCGTTTATGAACTTTGGTTCTGATTATTTTTTTTCTGTAAAACGTTATGTGACTACTACTATCAACATTATTATTTTTCTGTTATTATCATTATTATTATAATTATTTTCGTTATCGAAACTTAAGACAAGTCATCTTATCGTCAAAATTGACAGTCACTAAAAGACTTTTTGCTAATCATTTTAATAGTTCGATAAACTTCAGGCTCAATTTTTTCATGTCACTGTGCATAAGAAAACAATTCCTAGCTTTATCTGTTACACAGAAAAAATAGAAATATTTTACTGAAACGAAGAGAAAACTACAAAGCGGTTTACAGCTAACGTTTTTTAGAAATCTATTTAAAAGCCACTTTAGTTAGAAGTAGCAAAAAACCACTATAGTTTTACGACTAACTTAGGGTCTTCTAAACTAAACAACCTATCACTTGATGACTAAATTGTATAAATTACTGATGATACCACTGTAATAAAAATTTGAAAAAGAGATGAGAGATGAAGTTACGCTTAGATTAAGATGAAGAGGAAAAGTCAGAAGTATTAATGCATATACTTGAAATCATCTTTTTTCTTATTTAGTTCAAGCCAAAGAAGATGTTAAATGGACTGATCATTTTAACTCTTGTGATTATTATCGGTGTTGAAGCTGTAAAATTACCAATTCGTCGAACGAAGCGATACTCTTATTACACTTGTGGTGTTTGGCCAAATCAATACACATCTTTAATACGTCAGTTTATTATTTTTTGACTTAATAGTTTAATGCTTAGTAAAAAAATACTCCAAGCAGCAACTTATATTTTTATTTGGTCAATATTTATACTGGTAATTTTGAGCTTAGTAACGGGCTCTTCAAAGCACATTTTAGCGTTTATTTGAACAAATAAAGAACCACAAAACAGGCTCATCAAGGAAAACTCACAATGTTTTCATCTGACATTTTTCAGTAGAGCTGTATTCTATAAACAGAAGCCGAATTTCTGTGACGACAACAGCAAAGAGGATTTGAGAATCTTTTTAGTTCAAGTGCTAAACTAAATCACGATTTTTTTTAACCGCTTAAAATAATATTCTTCATCTCAAAAATTTTGAAATTTTTTAAAAAAAGCTGCTTTGAAGGAAAATCGTTTAGCTTTTATCTAATCCAATGATTAAATAAAAAGTATTTGAAACATTCAGTTTGAATACTTATTTGATGGCCAATCAGATGGTATTTTAGTACAGCTTGTTTACTGTCATCTTTCTTTGCTTTTTTCAAAACTTTTCTAGGAACTCTATCAGAAATGATAATGGATTTTTTTCCAGTTGGTGCTTGACTTTTTCCTTTTCTTTCAACCAATTTTTATAAAAGCATTGTTACTTAGCCAATTTTAAACATTTCTGAAATTTAAAATTTACAAAAGACGTTCTTTCTAGCGTGTGATAGTTACGGATCAAATGCTGTATGTTCAAATACTGGTCATTATATGGGACGTCGTTGTATTTATTCATCTGATTGCTCCATGGTTTGCGCTATTCTGTAGCTTTCTCTTTTGTACAGTTGGCAAAAGCTTGGAAAATAGTGAATTTTTCTGATGCAAACACAGTTTAATGCCAGTGACAGAAAAAATTTTATTCACAAATTTTCAAATTTAAGCTTGAAGCTCCGTCGTCCTGCTTAGATGGCTTGTGTTGTTCAATTCCATATGTTACACCTGGTCCAGGAAACTTCGGAGGCTGTAAGTGTTGAAGAAAAGATAAATTCCGAGACCTCCTTAGTTTAGTGACTCTATCTTTTCGCTGTCAAAGAAATCAATAAATTCTAATTGTAATATATGTTGTTGTGCTTCACTACAATCAGTAAGAAAGGTGCAGCTAACAAACTGTAAAAGAGCCTAAATTTCTTCCTTTGTAGCAGCATTTCAGGGAAACTATAAGTTTCTGTTTTACTTGTTTTCAGCCACAGCGCCTCTATGTGGCGGCATTAGTCAGTCTGGTGGATACTGTACTAATGGATTTTGCTCAGATGGATATGTTTGTACAGCATCCAATATTTGCTGCCATTGTTACGCTGGTTCAGATGCTGGTAAGCCAAAAGTGAAAAAAAAATACTGCTCCAACAAGATAGCGCCATTCTTAAGAATACTGTTAAGGTTTTGCTAAACACTGACGTAATATCACTGTTATATAATTTTAGTAGTCATATTTAGGTGTATGTTACAACAATGGATGCCCAACTGGATACAGTTGTTCCAGCACCGGTTATTGCTGTCCAGTAAGCTCAACCGGTTTGTCTGGATCCAAAACACGTTGTATTTTTGGTCAATGCCCAATTGGATATTCATGTTTGGACGGACAGTATTGTTATGCAATATAACGAACATTAATGACAACAGAATAATGTTAATTTTTGCAATAAAAAAATATCTGTATATATAAGTGAGCACATGCTAATGACAGTCACAAGAGAATCTAACAACCAGATAATTTACTAAAAACGACCAATCGGTATCCAACTTTCCGCTCTTTGTACCACTGATACTGATTCAATAACTAGAGTTATAATGAAGTATTTAGTATTGTCTTTTAATACCATTTTAATTCGCAAAAGCTACTCTATGTTGCTAAAAACTAATGCAAGCACAGTAATCGCTGAGTGCAGCTCAACTAGTCAAAAGTTTGAATGCTATATTGTATTTTTCTTCTATTTTGTTTTTTTTTCTTTTTTAAAACAAAGCTGTTCAAAATTTAAACGTCAAGTGATTGTTAAAGAAAGAAACAATTACAGAACACTAAGACTATATATACTTATTTCTTTGTTTTAAAAGATAAGTGCTGCAGGAGAAAAACTACTACATTTAAACTGCTTTGTGCAGTTCTTAATAGAAATTTACAAAAAATTTAACGATTACAGCAATATAAAATTACCGATAAAGTGTCACAGTAATTTGTAAAAACTAAATCTTTAAATGTCAGATTAAATTTGATAGGTTAAACCTAGAAAGTAAAAATATTATAAGTATTTGATTACTTCTTTCTTATCCTTTGGAATTGGCAATCAAAACAAATGTAAGTGTTGATTTATTCGACCTGTTAAAAATGTGCTGCTTTTTCTCAAGCAAAAATGTTCAACTTTCATAAGAAAATTATTAACTACTAGTAAGTTCAAAATTTCCCAAGTAAATTTTTTTTACACAACTGATGATGTTTCAAAATGTCGCTAATGATTGATAAAAGATTATATATACCTCAATAAATTTGGTTCTTGTATTACGCTATCACGGGATGCTATTTTTTTTATTTCCACTTTTGGCTACCACTTCTCTGCAGTTTTTTAGCATAGATAAAATGAAGTATTTTATTTATTTATTTTTTGAATGTATATTCTTTATAATTTATACATAAACATCTTTCCCTTTCTTCCTTCCCTTTGATCAATTCCAAAACTAAACTAAAAAATAGATGACCTTGTAAGATGGTAAGAAAAAAAATAGCAACTATTAAAAACACTTCAAAAAACAGCATTGACTTAGTCGTTTGTGTTTTAAAAGAAGAAAAAAGCCAAGTGTATCTTTTTTTTTTTTACAATTTTGTAATCATTATAACTTTTAATTTTGTAGTTCATGGTGTTCTAAATCCTGCAGACGACAACTGGTTGACATATCAAAGAGTAGTCAAGTCCTGCTGTCATATAAACGAAGATGCAAAGAAGGAGAAACCTAAATAAAATTTTCGTAATCCCTTGTTAAAAGCCAAAAAAATGTGATATTTTATGATCATATTATCGAAAATTTTCTTCTATTATTATGTATTATTTTCTCAAAGAGAAAAAGAGATAAC